GTTGGTACTCGGGGGACTAGGGTTAAATTTCAGCTGCCACCGGGTCCCTTTTTGAACAAACATCTTAACAAAGATCCTAACAAAAATATCATGAAATCATAACCTCTTTCAAAAAGAACGAATTTAACAAAAGCCCTATAAAACAATGACTAAAAATAACATCAAAGGTGGCGAAGAAACATTCGTCCCTAACATAAAAGCATAACAACCTAACATGTAACCAGGGTTTCCCCAGGCTCCCCCTTCTATATATTTTCCCCTCGCAAAGAAATTGATATTTCAATTGCAAATTGAAACGTCTAAGGGGGGGCCCCCCGTGTTTCCTTTTTCCAGGAACTAACCTCTGTATGGTCTCACACTTTTTGTACATACATGACTGATACATTTGGCTCAAGACTGAGAAAAGCCGCTTGCTTTCGCAACCGACTGCATTCGACTCGTGTCCGAGCATCGTCCATACGGACCTCTCTCGAGACAGTGTTCTTTCCAAGGGAAATCCACTGCATTGCACTTCGTGTCACCCCCCCCTGTAAAGTGAATTGAAAGAGGCTATTCGACTCCTCCCTCGTCCTTGTGAGAAAGCATACCAAATGTCTAGAGAAGACAATATGAAAGTCGATGTTTTTTTGTGTTCGGTTGACTCAGCCAACAGCACTTTGCGCTCGTGGCACAAAAGCGTTGCGTTGCTGCCCTCCCTCCGCGTCCCTCTGATCCTTCCACACCCTTCGCTTTCGCCCCCACTGTCCTCAAGTATAGATAGATAGATAGATAGATAGATATACAGTATATATATATATAGCACTGGACAGGCAGATTTCGAAAAACAAACAACTTGGCTTGCGTGGCCCAACCCAGAGAGTTGAAAGGTGCCAAAGGCAGTTCGAAGAGCTCCCGGATCATACATTGTTTCCCATGTTGCTCCACCAAGAAACCTTCTCGACTTCTCACCTTCAACCGACGGTAAATCCATCCATTTGCAGGCGCCATGCTTGGTCGTTGACGGTGGAGACTGTGAAGGAAGAGATGCATGCGATTTCGAGGACATAATTGACTGATGCAGATGGATCATTTTGTTGTTTATATAAATAATTGTTCGCCAGCCAGCATGACCAAACAATGGAACTAGTCAACCCAGTATGCCTTTGCACAGGGTGGCCTGTGTGTGTGCCCCTTGTAGTCACAGGGATTCTTTTTGACATGTTTTGAGCAGGGGGGCACAGGAGGCCCATAGAGCTGTACCCAACGAAGCTCTCTATGGTGACCTCAGGATATGCAGCCTGATCAGCTGCACGTACCTGCTGTTTGAACTTTTGAACAAGCTTTGACTCCAATTTCCAGTAAAGTGCTACTGAGCTTGGCAGACATGAGCGTACGACGTCATCTCGACCTGCTCGTCGCTTTCGGTCTTGAGCTTTTGGCCCTTTCTCCTTTTGAAGACCTCCAGGCTCCATAGGGTTCTCCTGGACTTTTCAGGATTTGGTTTCTTAGGCTGGCGTGTGGCCCCGCTGTCAAGTCAGTACACAAAATCAGAAGTGTGTGCTTTGACGTCCTTTGGCTATGTGCTGACTCGTGACGATTCTATTGGTGTACTGAATCGCATGACCAGGATGCAGCCCGTGTCGCCATCATCCCGGATGCCAAAGACTCCGAAGACGCCCAAGACACCCAAGACACCGTTGGTTCGAGGCATCCACAATTGTGGTCAGGGAAGGGAACACCATGCTTGGTGGAGAGGGTGCAACGGGTGCAGTTGCGCTGTTCATCCAATTGTGATGAATCCCCGTAGGATATCTTAAGTAGAAGCTGTGTAGACGAGCTGGCATGCAAAAGGCAAAACACCTCAGTCCTTTATATATATATATATATAGCCTTTTTTACATTTGCTGGGAGTTGTGAGCAACTAGGCAGCTAGTCTGACGAATCTTCAAAGCTGCGCCGCGATTTCGCACATTCTTCCATGCAAGGCAAGCGCATGTCAGCGTGCCTTGGCTGGGATGAAGGCCTTATGTGCGTTTGTACCACACCGACGTTCTTTTTCTATTTGGTCATTAGGGTGCAGACTGATGTCACTCTAAGTATCTATCTCTCTCTCTCTCTATAATATATATATATATATTTACCAGGCTACCGCCTGCAGCCGCCGACCCCCAAGGGATAGAACCTTAGCGCTAGCCTTGCTCCAGGCAGAGAGGTGGGGTGAGGCGTGACTGTCGATGTTAAAGCCTAGAGCATTGGGAACCTAAAAACAAGAGGACATGCAAGAAAATGTTTGGAAAAGGAACAGCATCCTGCCGAATAAAATCTAAACAAAGCCAAGAGTATTCCTAGGAAAAATCAAGGGCATTGGCCGGGAACACTGGCATAAAATAGGTTAGCCAAAGGTCAACAATTTTGGGGGGAAATCTGGGAACCTAAAGACAAGAGGAAGCGCTAGAAAATTCTGGCAAAAGCATCCAACCGAAAACGTAACAACATCTAGACAAAGCCTAGAGCATTCCTAGGAAAATATTGGAAAAGCCTTTGAAAGTTCCATAGGTTAGCCAAAGGTTACCAATTTTTGGGGGAAATCTGGGAACCTAAAAACAAGAGGAAGCGCTAGAAAATTCTGGGAAAAGCATCCAGCCGAAAACATAACAAAATCTAGACAAAGCCTAGAGCATTCCTAGGAAAATGCTAGAAAAGCCTTTGAAAGTTCCATAGAAAACATAACAAAATCTAGACAAAGCCTAGAGCATTCCTTTGAAAATTTCATAAACCAACAGAAAACGTGACAAAATCTACGAAAAAGCAAGGGCATTGGCCGGGACCATGCCGCGACCAGCCCGGGATTCGAGCCCAGGACCATTTTGGACCGCGCTTATTTTCCCGCGCGGGTCGAGAGGGTGCCCCAAGATGTAAATCAATTGGGATGGCAGAATCTTGGACAATCCAGGTCACCATTAGGTCGCTTTCAGGTCGCAATCCCGTCAAATCCCGTAGCTATCAGGTCGCTTTTAGGTCGGGTGTGGAGGGGTAGGGGAGGTAAGGTCTAAGGCTAAGGCTACGGTCTAAGCTCTAAGCCTAAGGCTAAGGCTAAGGCTGAGGCTAAGGCTTAAGTCTAAGGCTAAGGCTAAGGCTAAGGATTAAGGCTAAGGCTTAAGGCTAAAGGCTAACATCGACAGTCACGCCTCACCCCACGGTGTGGGGTCGGCGGATTATATACTTGTGTTGTGCTCCACCTGGGCTACAGCACTGTTTGGAGCGCTGTGGGTTAGTTCGGCGCTGTGGCCATCCCCACTTGCGGCACCATGCACCCTAAGGGCAGCAAAGCTGTGGAGATGCTCTAAGAACTGCGGCCCTGACTGTTGCGGGGACATCCCGGATTCTTTGTTGCTGGAGAAGGCCAGTCGAGGTAGTCAAATTGGGGCCAGGCCTAGACTAGACCATCGACTTGATCATTTGGTCTCCTGATCGCTGATCACGAGCGCTAGCTTCAGCTAGCTGGAGTTACTCATGCTTTAGCAAGTTGTTGGTTGGGCTACCCAATGAATTTATCCACTGTTAGAACCCCCCCCTCCCCTCCGCAGGTTCAACTCCCCTCTGCCAGATTTAGGAGCAGAATAGTTCTGATAGCGTCCGTTTTTGGGACCATTATGTTTTACATCATGCCACACATCCCCATCCGTTTTAAGGTCACGCGCTTAGACGGAGCTAGCTTTCGTCACCGTATGTCTTGTCTCGCTTTTGCGGTGTTCGCCACTCCAAGCGAGTTGGTGGTGCTCACGAGGCCGACGACCCGCGAGCACGGCTGATCAGCATTTGATTTGGCCGATATCCAATTCAATGAGTCCAACTTGCAACCTTTAGTTGCTGAAAAGAACCTGGAATTGCTAGCAACAGACTTGGTACAGAATACAGTCTCTCGACCGACATTTGCGTGTAAGTTAGTTTAAATCGCGCCCAGTCCATGAGCCACACCTCAGGGCTTTGCCCAAAGTGCTGCACGAGCTGCACAAAATGCTCATGAGAGATCTTATTTGTTCATCAACCTCATCATTTGCCGGCACAGGGTTCTCACATCATGCCAGGCTTAAAGAGGGGTGACTTAAGAGTGGGCGGGGTGACGAGTGTGTTTAAGGACCTGATCATGCGTGGCTCAAGGTTGCCTTAGAAAGCGTGGTCAAGGCGTGTGTACCTTTTCTTCCTTAAGGCTTTGCACAGGCTTTTAGAGAGTGTTCCAGCAACAAAAGGAAACCTGATCCCATCCAACTCTTTAATGGTGCAAGCGCACAACTTTTTAACGGCTACACGCCGCTGAGTGAATCAGGAATTCGAAGTCTCACACATTTGCAATGTGAGGGTGTCTTGCTTCTTCAGCATAGCATGCAAGAGGCCAGACATTCATGAAGCACAGCTGCACCTCTAGTTCGGTTTCCAAGGGTGCACACTGAATGGGTGACCAAGGCGATTAGAAGTTCTCAAACTTAGACTGTTATCTTTCCTTCACTGACGCGAATGAGCGTCCAAAGTGAAGGCTCGGTCAGCACCGCTTCAAGCGAGCAGCAGCGAGCAGCCTGACCCCTGAATGAGTCTGTTAAACGAAAACTGAGGTTGGGCATTGCGTCGGTTGAACCGTGATTAAAACACGGAGTTTATCATGCAACCTGTGGCTGACTGTCCGGAGAGAGATTTGCTGGAATAGAACCCAACCTTCGCCTGAATGAGTTCCCCGGGCAGTGGGAGATGAGGCCCCCAACAGTTTCCTCTTCGACCATATGCTGAGTATTCATAGGTTACGCCACTGCTGGACGTGTCGTATATCGTATCGTACGCCGATATTTGCCTGAGTGGGCCTTTCGCGGAGGACAGTTGTAGCTGCGAGAAGCAAAAAGAGAGAGGAAGTGCTCAAAGATTCAAAGATCAGGAGGCACATGGAGACACTGCAGGAGGTGGAGCCTGCTAGGGTTTGCAGGCCCGCTTGCTATAGAACACCCACTGGACCGTTTGCTGCTTTGCCCGAGGAAGAGGACTTGCAGAAGATGCCAAGCCTGTGGAAGCAGCCAACGGCGATGGCTCGGAGACACGATGGGATGTTAGAAGCTGTGAGCTGTGAAACCCAAAGCCAGTTCTTCAATCAAGATTGTGAACAGAAGAGATCCGGATGGGATTCAGGGGCTACAGGGATCTTGATAAAAGAAGAGAATGGAGGCTTCATGGGCAGTAGTGAGGCAGTGAGGCCACTTGTCGGAAATTGTTTGAACATATCAATGCCGTGCCATTAAAGCAATGAGAGTGGCTGAGTGGGCAACGCCACTCTTACTTGGATGTGCTGGTCAGGTGCAGGTTTGTGCAGCAAATGACGCTGGCCAATCTTCCTGGTCCAAGCTGGAGGTCAGAACTCGTGCTGAAGCATTGGGGTTTTTGAACATCATGAGTAATAAGCGGCTTTTGTAAGCAATAAGGTCATGGAGATACAGTTGTGTATTGACATGCAGCCCAAAAGACCTTATGTCTTTGATTAAGGAGCGCAGTGATCCCGTACACACCATGTTGCAAATCCTTAAGTTGTTCTCGGAGCAAGGTGGCTAAGCCCGGGATACATATCAGGCCACATATGACAGCAGCATGGAGGTGAGTTCACGACATGGTGTATCGGCGTATCAATGACGTCGTTTGACCAGAACTTTTCTCCTCCGCCAAGAGCTTCTTGAAAAACCATAGGTTTCAACCCATTTTGGGCCTCGGAGCTCCAATAGCTCAGATCTACATTGCTGGGGCAAAGCCTTCGGTGGCAGCTGGCCTAAAATCAGTGCATGTTGACCATTGGGCGGCTTGCAGCCTTGCGAGGACAGAGGGATAGGAAAGACCCAAGGGATGTTGCACTGGTTGGAGCCTTTTGTGTTTAGGTACGGCCTCAGCTTCGTTTTTATAGACGCGCTCTGTAAAGAGTTGGTGGTGGCATGTTGTGCATGCCGCATCGCCTGATTTTTATGCGATGCAGATGATTCAGCATGGATCGGCAAGAGTCCTCAGGTTCGGATACCCTCGAGTCCCGGCACTGACTCAGAGGTGATTGCGGGTGATTGCGGGTGGTGTCGGGATATGTCGAGTGATTCCTGGCACTGCCCAGTGGATTTGGATTTGATATGATTTTGGCAGGTGCTGGCGGCATTTTATCCAGCTCTTGGTATATCAATATAAACTGAATCAAAGTTCATTTGAGTTGGTAAGTTAATCACACCATTATTGAAACTGCTATTATTCATTCGAAGAGTTTGCGAGGCCAGTTCATCATTGGCCAGCTCGCCCGGAAAACACTTCAGCCAAGACTCCTTCAACAGAGAGATCCAGAGGACGGGTCGCACATCGGAGTCAGCACTTCAAGTGCTCGAAATGTCACCGTCTGCGGAGTGAACCTTCCTCGGGATTCTAGATTAAGCATGTTTAAGAAGGTGGACTTGGCTTGGGACGCTGGGAAGGCGCTCCGGCCAAGACCTACAGTCCTTGCTCCTAGTAGCGGTGCCCTTTGCTCCTAGTAGCATCCTTGCCCATACATATGTATATTTATATAGGTAGGCCAAAGTGTCCAGAATAGGGGTTTGGCGGTGGCACGGTTGTGCTAGAGTCCACAAGGGCATGTCCTATCTTGGGTAGCTCATTTTGGCTTCGAATGCTCCAGTTGAAGTGGTTCAATGAGACTGTTGATCTCGAGGTTTATAAAAACATGTCATTGGAGATAGCCTGTTTTCAAACTTTAAAAGCCAGTCAAAAAAAATCAAAAAAGTCAATCCCAAAAGTCAAAGTCAAAAAAGGTGATATCAGAAAGTTTCAGAAAGTCAAAAGTCAATTTGCCCAGACCCGACTTCTTTTTGACATTTTTATTTTTTTCGACTTTGTTTGTTTCACTAACTTCGAACGCCGGTGATTGCTCAAGTCACATGTCACCTTGGATCCAAGAACTCATTGGATTCTTGACCTGGGGCAGCTCATCAGGGTGGTTTGGCCTCGCTTGCCCTCCTCATTGCACGGCTTCTCCTGGCTACCTGACAGCCTTCATCCTCTCAGGATTCTGTCTCGGCTTCCTCACGGCCTCCGTGCTTGGCATTTGGCTGGCCTTCAGGCCTTTCTTTCCACCTTGGATTTCACCTGCTGCTCCTCAGGCATCTCATCCATTGTCTTCTTTGCATCCGCGCCTCTCGGCGTATTTGCATGAACGCCCCCTCCGCCATCAACATTCTGATTGAGTGTGTGAGGCAAGTGGCTCGTTCTCTACGTGGCCTTGCTGACTCTCTGGAAAGGGCCGCTGACCGGGCTGAGGGCATCGCTGCACCACAGCCTACTCCTGCTATCTCATCCGACACTGTGGACACTGTCGAGTGGGACTTGATCACACAGCTGGACGCTTTGAGTGGGCATCCAGTCTCTTCCTCGGGACCGGTCCGGCCCCTGGCTCGCTATCACGAAGTGGCTTCCAGCATCCCTGATCTACCTGATCATTGTCTTGATCTTTGCAGGCGACTTGGGGGCACTACAGCTGACGTCAAGAGCAGAGCACTTCGTGCCTGGCAGGCTGGCCATTGGGCAAAAGCCACCTGGGAAGAGAGGGTCCCGAAGCCGAGGCCTACGCCAAAGTTGGCCTTGAAAAATACCGTCTACATCATCCTCAGGGGTCCGAACATCTCTAGGCCAGTTCGTGTATCTTCAGCTGCTGAGTACAACAGGTTGCTCCCAAAGTTTGAAGATTCGATCAGCCACGCCTTCGCCTCTCTTGCCGAGGGAAAGGTCTACTGTCTTGCAGCCGGGATTAGCTTCCCGGATCCTCCTGACTCAGTCCAATGACGGAGAGGGTGAAGTTTCTGGACCAGGGCACGTATTTCATCCAAGTCCTGGCTTTGGAAACACTACAGGCTGGTGGCCCGCTTCTACAAGAATGTTTTGTGATCCCTCTGATGCCCCGAACGAATGGTGTGCTTTTGGCTCTCCCTGCAGGATTTCTTCCAGAGTCTCTTCTGCAGGAGGGTCTGGCTGCTGGTCCGGAGGACTTAATTGGACCTTCGAAGACTTTGGTGGTTCCAGGCGTTTGGGAGGAGGCAGACGGGACAGAGCTTTCCTCAGGAGAGGATATAGAGGTGCTGGTGGTGGACTTCCATCGGAGGATTTTGAATCAGGTCAGGGACTTCGATCCTGTGACGGAAGGCCCAGGGATCCATGCTTTCTCAGCAGATCATGCGGAGGTATTTCCAGAGTCGAGTTCCCTGCTTCTGGGGGCCTATGCATGGTTGGAAGAGGGTGGAGAGGGCAGGACCCAATATTACTCTGCAGAGGAGCCGGTGACTTCTTCTCATCCTCACGAACCTGCTCCCAAGGCGAATGCTTCGAAGTCTCGAGCGAAATCTTCTCCTGGTGGGGCTTCTACTCCAGCGAGGAGGGTGACTACGGCGACATTGGCAGAGCAGCTAGCAGAGATTTCCAAGAGTCTCCCTGCATTGTCATCCCGCTTGGATCAGATGTCCGAGAGACAGACCCTGCTTTCCTCACCTTCGGCTCCAGCAAGCCCGGCAGTTCCAGCCCACAAACGCCCCTTCGAGGTGTCTGGATACCAGGGCCCAAAGCCTTCCCCGACGGCCTTCTTGCGAACTGTTGGCAGCCCGCCAAGGGTTCAAGCCCTCAAGGAGAGCCCCCGCCCAGACAGACACGTCTCGTTTCCCGAGGACGAGCCAAAGCAGATTCCCTCCGATCCCGACTTCGTTCCTCCTACCCTTCCGGACCAGAACTTGGGTCAAGGAGGAATTTCAGCAGCCATTTTGCAGCAATCTCAGGCCCTTGCAACTCTGGTGGCCCATTCGGTCAATCAGGACGGCTTCTCGGATCTTGGAACAACCAGCGGCTCTTCCAGCATGTCTCTGAAAGGGTCTGCGAAGAGGGAGAAGCTGATGAACGATCTGGCCCACCGTCGTGGGGACTTTCTGCTGAAGATTGCTCAAAATGCCTTCCAGAGGTTGAAGCCTTCAGAGAGTCTGCCCAAAGATCTTCCTGGTTTCCGTGGCAAGGCGATCTTCTCGAAGTATGTGGAGAGGAATGGAGGTTTTGCTGGGCAACGAGATCATGGCCTGTTCATGTGGCTTCTTTGTCAGATAGCCGATGCCATGGTGAGTGGCGACGACAAGGGTGCTCAGGAGTTGCTTGCTTTGGCTATGGTTGCTGTGGAGCAGAGTGCCCAAGATGGAGGGAAATGGGAGGTGGCTTGGATTCTGTCTTTGCAAGAAGACCCTCCGACTGGGATTTTCTCAGCAAGGCCTGCATCTACGAATCCCAGGCTTCGAGCCTTCTCCCCGCTTTGCCCAGCGGAGTGGGCAGCAATTGCCCTTTCTTTCGTGAAGGAGGTGGACATCATCAATACTCGACGCCAGGAGGCTTTGCCTGTGAAGAAGGGAGGACAAAAGGGTCAGGGCGAGGAGGAGTCCCAGAAGAAGAAGCAACCTCGCTATCCGAAGAGGCCCAAGCAAGGGGGCGACCAGAATGCCTGAGTGAGGTCACCGAACAGGGTGCTCTCCTTGGCGCTCCTCCTCCTGCTTCTGTTCCAGATGACTGTGACAACCTTTCGGCCGACTATGACGTCCTTTGTTCCGGAGGCTCGGATAGTCTCTGCCAGGATGATGGCCATGAGCGCAAGATGACAAGCCCTGATGTTTTTGAAGGAGATGATTGTGGCACCTCTTCTGATGTACCTATTTGGGAGAAGTTGCAGACTTACTCTTTTGAGCGTTGGGCTTCTACATTGTGCGCTTCAGTTTTGGGATCTCGGACCTCCTTTGCGATGTTTTTGAGGTCTACTCTTCATGCTCAAAGACTGCTACCATGCAGATCTATGAAGGCTCTTTTCCCTTTGCCTATTCCTGCTGTTGGGATTTTTCAAAGGAGGGCAAATGGCTCCAGACACAGAAGAAGGCTGGCTTTCAATCAGGCCTTTCATGTGTGCGTGATGGCTTTCAACTTTTGGCATGCCGATTTCAAGTTTGTGCCTTTGGAGTCTTTAGCGCTTGAGCCTTCCCCTCCGCAACAAGCAGTTCTTTTGAGGCTGAGGAAGCAACTTCGAGCCTTCGGTAGCTCTGGTGAGCCTTTCACAGTGTTCCTCAGAGCGGCCGGCGAATCACTACTTTGGCGTCTCTGCTTGCTGACCTCTCGGACTTTGTGACCTGGGAGGGGATTGGTGGAGATGCTTATTCTAGAACGTTCCCTGGTGCAGAAGCTGGCTTCGGCTATGTGGCTACGGTTGAAAGAGACCTGGAGCGAGCCGAGGAGTTGAGGCCCTACAGGTCACTTGAGCCTTCACGGCTGAAGCTTTCAGGAACTGCATCATGGGATCCGGAGCCATACCTGTCGGACATGCTTTGGATGGCCTTCACCGAACCGGACAGTCTTCGTTGGGCTTCTTATGAGAGGTCTGAAAATGTTCCTGACCTTTCAAAGGAAGACTATGGCCTGACAAAAGACCTGGCTTTGTTGTGGGACATCAACGGGTTACTCTTCCTGAGAGACCCGCCTGAGGAGGTAGACAAGGACCTTTCCATGAGGTTCTTCAATTGCTACAAGAATAGCGACACTGACCGTATGATTGGAGAGCGTCGTTCCAGGAACTACGTTGAAGGCCGCCTGGCTTGTGTCTCAGGGGGTCTCCCTACAGCTCAATGCCTTTTGGACCTTGAGATCTCTCTTCCTGGTCAACGGATTTCCATTTGCGCTTCAGATCGCAAGGACTTCTACCACCAGATCAAGGTGCCAGAGCAGAGGGCGAGGACAAACGGGATTTGGCCTCTACTTCGACTTGGTGACCTGGAAGGGACTAAGGCCTTCAAGCGTTGGTCTTTGGCTGCATCTGGAAAGAAGAAATATGTCCGAGAGGCCGAGGGGGACTTCCTTGGGTTTCGAAGGACAAGAGGAGTCGCAGCTGAGAAATCAGGTCTTGCGCAGGCCTGCTTCTTTTCCGTGCCTCAAGGTGATCATCTTGGAGTTGAGTTCGCCGCTGAGGCTCACAGGAACTACTTGCAAACAAAGGACTTCTGCATCCAGCTGAGGAGCTCCGCTCGGGCTCTCCTTTCAGAGGTCTTGATGTCGCTTCAGGATTGGTCATTGATGATTTCTATGCTGTTTCTGTTGAGGACGCTGCTCTTGCACATGTCGAGGCTGACGTTTCTGCAGGTCAAAATGTGAAGAGGCCGAAAGCAGTAGAGCGTCTTGAGAAGGCAAACAAAGCCTATGAGGAGGCGGGTCTTCTGGGCTCTCCCCACAAGGATCTCTGTGACGTTGAGAAGGGGAAGATCATGGGTGCTGAGATTGATGGCTCCGCATATGC